CTCCATTGCGTGCATCGAATGCAAAAGAGAAGTGCATTTAAAGTGCGCCAAACTCACGAAGAGTTATTTCATATGCCAAAATTGCAAATCAGAATAATGTTTTCGGGAAGATTTCGCGTCAAAACTATGTATTATTAAATAAAAAAGAAAGATAGATTTCATATTTGTTCATAAAAAATTATTTTAGCATATATTTCGCCGATATTAAACAGTGTCCCAACCCTGACAGCAAGTCCCAACCCTGACTACATTTTTCCTTTTTTTAATTTGTCTATAACTTTTTTTTCAATGGTGCGCGTAGATTCGTCCAACGTTAAACTTTCTTACAATCATCCTAACTTTGAAATAAGACCTCAACATCGAGAAATTTCTAATTCTAACAAAACTTATAGAGCAAAGTCAAAAAGTGTCCCAACACCCTGACGACATTCTCCTATTTAATATATACCATTTCTAAATAAATTATTTTTTGGAATAATTTGCAACTTACAAATGGGGGTATAAACATGAGTCAAGGCAGTATCGTATCCAATTATGTATGTATGTATAGACATATATATTGTATAACCGTATAAAAAAAAGGATAAATAAAGAAAAAAGCAACTATGGTCTAAGACTTGACAATAGTTACGGTAACACCAATTGTCAGGTCGTGATCTTGTCAATCAAACGTTCCCGCGTTAATGTTAATCAAGACTATAGTAAAACTGACTCGAGATGTGGTAAGACTAGATTAGGAACCGAAAAAAACCGTAAACCGAAAATGATTTTATTGATTCAATTACGTTTCATTGATTTTGGTATTAGAAACTTTATAAAATTTAGTTTCGGTTCATCTAAAAAAAGGGTTACGGAACGTCGGAACGGTTTTCGATTTCGATTCCGGCACGGTCCGGATCCCTGCTGTCTACCATATAAATGCTGAATGGTTTTTTTTTTCGAACACCCTGTATATAAAAGGAAGTTCAATTATATTACGTAATATTATCGACTTACCTGGATGGCGATGGTCTTCTGCAGCGTATCGATGGCGTTTTGACAAGGTATTCTCGTGAGTTCTTCATCCCTGAGCGGACTGGGTTCGTCACTGAGCAATGCCCGAACACACTCTTGTGCCGAGTCGCAGATCGCCGCTAGATCGTAACCTCCTTCCAAGGCGAGAACGATCTTGCCATCGGCCAGATTAAGTAACTGTTGTGTCATTCTACCGAAGCATGCCGGGCTGACTTTGTAACCGCCCAACGGCGCCGGATGACCCACAGCCGCATCGAAGCCGGCCGATACGATCACAATGTCTGGATCAAATTCCTTGGCGATTGGCATGACAATCGTACGAAATGCCGCGAGATATTCCGCGTCGCCCATAGGCGGATTCAGGCCACCGGACCACGCCACGTTCACATTGTAGCCGAGTCCCTCGCCAGCGCCGCACTCAGTAGGCCCGCCAGTTCCAGGGAAGAAGTTACCGTCATCGTGTCTGTGTATCGACAGATACAGCACTCGCGGATCATCGTAAAACATCTGTTGAGTACCGTTTCCATGATGAACGTCCTGAAAAAAAATATCAAAATGATATAATATTTTGTCGTACAGTATGTCCGAAAATATTTAAAATCACAGCCTGATCTTGACTATAAATTCGATTGCATTGCTTACTTTCACGGTGTAAAGACATTCAAGTTAAAAATCAAATAACAAGAGGGTAACCACTCAGAAAATATATGTACACCTGGACTTTTGACTTCAAGACTTCATCGAACTTCACTAGACTTTTATGGATATGATTGCTACTTTTCTAAGTCTAAAAACACCGGCGAAATTTTTCAACAAACTTCCGGACGAATGTTTATGTCCAGACAAGGACTTTCAAAAAATTCAATCAAAACTAATGACCTTTTTTTTTGTACAAATTCGACTACATTTTTATTGGACTACGTCGAACTTTAATGGACTTCAGTGGATAATCAGGGCTGGGCATATTTCAAATACTTGTATTTGAAATACAGTATTTGAAATACAATTTGTATTTTGTATTTCAGCGGAACACATAAAAGTATTTTGTATTTTGTATTTCAAATAAATTATTCAATATAT